TAGTATCAGTAACATCATATGTAATAAAAATACAATATTAACAATATCAATCATGATATATGAAAAAATAATAAGTCAAAATCAAGGTGACTCAATATTATAGAAGATAAAAAAGTGATATATACACCATCCTTGACAAAACATAACTTTATATACATATGCAGCATATGTATGTACATGTGTTTGTGTATGTTGTAACATATGTATGATTGTGGGCAAGTATACACAAGGCATCCTGACAAAAATATGAATCAGTAGCTAATACCTTCACATCACACAGAATATATCTATCACATACTGCACACATGATGGTTAAACAAAGCACCAATATCTTAACCCATTTTTTTCAATCTCATTTTCGGGGGCCAAGAAGTGGGTCATCAAAAGGCTCACTTGTTGATGTAAGACTAGTCTTGGACTTTGATGTAGACATTTTTTTTACTACACTAGCCTCTGTTTTTCCTACTGTTCCTGTTGAACTGAATATGTCATCTGTAAGAGAAAACATTATTATTGAATTGGTAATGACATTTATGACAATTACAGATTTGGCATCAGCCTTAAACACCATTACCTTGATTTTCCAGCAAATTTTAAAAGTTTCAGTACCTTCTACCAAGGTAGAAATCTGAAAACTTATTTTGGACAAAGTACTAGTACCTTCTACTAAGGAAGAAATGAAAACTTATATTGGACAAAGTACTAATACCTTTTTCCAAGGAAATGCAAACTTTTTTGGACAAAGTACTAGTACCTTCTACCAAAGAAGAAATGTGAAAACTTATTTTGGACAATGTGTCTGTCATTTTTTCAAACTGAGTTATTACTTATTATGAATAGTGTATTGGTGTCAATAGCATAAAGAACACTATGCAAAGATTCTACTTTACTGATATTTCAGAGATAAGTATATGCAGGTTCTAACGGCAAGATAAAATTCCGTTTACTTTATCATAATTTTCATATTGCTCCATGGCCCCCAGATTGGGAACCTCTACGCTAGACTTACCATCATCATCTCCAAAGAGGGACTGAGAAACAATAGGCTTGATCTCTTTCTTAGAGACCTCCTGCTGGACAGCTGACTCTGTAGCTTTATGATGTGATAATTTGGAGTTTGATGGTCCAAACAGATCTTCATCACTGTCATCTTCTCCAAACAATGATGATGGCTGAGACTTACTGGAAGGTTTTACAAAGTTCTGGGTTTTTGTAGTACATGAGGCACTTTGTAGTTTGCTGAAAAGATCTTCTTCAACCTCGCCCTGCATTTCAACTCGCTGGCTGAGCGTGCTGGTAATCCTGTTTTCTGTCCCACTTGTTTGGTGAACTTGAACACTCCTCTCAATTTTATTTATATTTTTTGCTTGGTTTCCTCTGAACATATCATCCTCATTCTCACTGCTTGAAAAGAGCTGATCTTCAACAGGAGGATCACTATGTGATGAACTTTCAATTGCTGCATCCTTTTCATTTGACTTTCTAGTGTTTGCTTCTTTTAGCTCAGGAACTCTATTTGATGGTGTCTGTGCAACTGAAGGAATGGTCTGAGAACTGTCTCCTGCAGCACCTTTTCTGTGAGCTCTGCTTGGGGGTCTTCTTTTAACACTTCCTCTTACTCGGCTCTGGATAAAAGAACAAGTTTGTAAAATCCATCAGATCCCCAACAATTCAACAAAGTAAATGATGAAAATATGTGAAGACCTAAAATAAAAGAACTTACCTTATTTAAGCTATCCAAAGTGTTTGTTGTGACTGGCTCATCAAAACTAATGCTATTCTCCTGGCCACCAGACTTCACCTCAGGTCTTCTGACCCCTAAGCTTTGAGTGGATGCAGTTGCTGTAGTGTTTGCCACTGTTTTTGAGGCAGGAGACATCTTTGGCACCTTTTTCTCTTCCTGCTTAATTTCAATTGAGTGGGTTAGTGTGTTGGCATCCCCAATCTTTGATTCTCCATCACTATCACTCTCTGACCCTCCTAACATACTCTTCCTCTGAGTCACTTTGGCAAAGAGTTCACTGCCACCTAAGCCTCCCCCTCCAAACATGGATACTCCTCCTATGGGTGGCTTCTTCTTTGGTTTTATTTCTTCACTGGACTCTTCTTTCCTCTTTGACTCTTTAGAATCATCTACAGCAGATGGATCAGCCCTCATTCCATCCTCTTTTTCTCTGGCTAATTTTTCCGCCTGCTTTTCTTCTTCCTTTTGCACCACAGATGGAGAGTCTTCAATCTCTTTCTTGTCAGGACTGTCAGATTGTTTAGGTACCACTACAGTTGAGGAGACCTTTTCTGGTGATGAGGTAGATGACACATTACAAATCTCTGAAGGCAATGGTGGAGGGCTTCCTCTCCCTGGAATATGTGAACGTGTTTGTTTTGTCGTTACTTGGCTAATTCCAAAGATGTCATCATCACTCTCCCCATCAAAAAGGATCTGGTTGCTTATCAAATCACTTTTTTCCTTCTTTACTTCTTCTTTTGAAGCTTTCTCAAT